TTTGTTTTATTTTGCATGATATTAGCATGTACAGTTAGACCCCAAATTGTTCGCTCCTGGTAGATTTACATTTAAAGTTATTTTTAATTCATGGCACCATAGAAATTTAGATTTGCTTTCTTTTTTTTAACCAAGATAAAACCATGTTTCTACTGTAATTTTGTTGAACTCCAATCATTTGTGGCTGGAAGGGCCCCTGCTTCCATCACAATAATGTTCAGGTCTCTACACTGATTGTCTTCATTGAAATTTTAAGACTTTACTCTGGCTTAGCCATTACAAAATGTTAATATTACTTAAAGTCAGAAGAAACTTGTAAAGTAAAAAAAAAGTGACTCTATTCCTAAAACTAGCTGGGAGAGTGAATAATGATTTTTTTTTAGCTGTGATGTGAAAAGAAAAAAATAAGCTTTTTTACAGTTTAGAACTTGAGATTCCTTGATTTTATCCACACCTCTTTAAATCTGACAACCCAAAATAAAATCTAGAGCAAGCATCAGCCTTTGTATATCAAGTAATTAGTAAAGAGTCCAACTATGTGAACATAGATGTTCTGGTAGACTCAGAGGTTTGTTCGTGAACTTTGGTGAGACACATCACAAGATTCTCATCACAAAGAAACTTGGGTGAAGTCTGAAGCAGGGTTAGATTATAAAACAATAACCCAAGCTGCAGAAGCGTTGTTCAATCTCCTTTCCAAAAGGAGAAAAAAATATGGCACAACATGACATGACAGACAAACAACAGCTTTTATTAGTGAAGTAGTCTCAAGTTAAATGGTAACTCTAGAGGAGCTGCAGAGATTCCCAGGTGGGAGAACATGTCGACTGGAAAACGTTAAGTCATGCAGTCTCCAAGTGTGGCTTTATGAACAAACAATAAAATGACAGCCGCTGCTGAAAGGAAAACATAATAAGGCACAACTTACAGTTATGACTTGGTGACTAAACACAATGGAAACCTAATGCACAAAATCCTGAAAACACCATTTCTGCTGTGAAAAACTGTGGCCACCTCATACTTTGGATGTGCTTTTCTTCAGTAGTGGTAGGGAAGCTAAATACAGGACAATCTGGGAAGAAAAGCTAATGGAGGCTGCAGAAAACTTCATATTCCAACAGAACCCCTCATAACTTGATCAGGTGTGTTGAGGCAGAAACACATCTTGAAGTTGTAAGACACGAGCTCTCGATGACTACACTTTGAGACTTGAGGTTTAAATCAAACTTTATTTGTCTTCTGAAATTCACTAATTAACTCAGGCTCGTTAGGAACCTGTAGCAAGAAAATTGAAGTTCTATCCAATCTGACTGAACTTGATTATTTGAAATAAATAATGAATGCAACTTTCACTGCTTAAGTGCGTGATGTTTGAAGAAACACCATGTGTAAATGTAGCAGAATAACTTTTATGGAGTATGGACTCTAAGGACAAATCCACTTTAAAATGTTAACATTTTTATTTGTTAAGACAATTCAAAACCATATGTTCTTTGCCTTCATTTTCACAATCATAACTCATATTTTGCTGATCTGTCATATGAACTCTAAGGAAAATACGCTGAAATTGTGACTGCAGCATAGCAAAATGTGAACAGTTGAATAAATATGGTTTCAGAAAGCAAAGCATTGTGCATAGCTGGCATGTGGCTCCCTATGGTGCTTAAAAGCTGAAACCAACAAGTTTCTCAAAATTGTATGTTGCAGTTTGACAGGAGTAACACAAAAGTGTTCATAATTTTATTTAAAAATCCCTGCTTGGTTTGACTACTAAATTATTTTGGAATTGCCCCATTTTAAAAAAAGAAGGAATTTAACCTTTTCAAAAGGGAATCTAGAAAGATTTAGAAAGAACTCCCCTAAGGATACAAGTGGCTCTCTGCATAAAAAGTGCAGGCTTTTCTGCATTTTCAAACGAGCCTCATTATTCAGACCAGGAGGTAGCTAAAGAGAAAAAGCAGAATAAAGCACATGTGTGATTTCAGGTAAGTGGTCTAACCTCACCACTTAGTCAGCATACTGCTGTAATAGCTGGACCCTGAACATGGGGATACCAAAATAGAAATAGGATGCTGCGTGTGCATTTGGCAGACGTTTTATCCTGAACGACTTACAAATGAGGATGTAATAATGCAGAGAATATCAAAGCTAATAATAAACCACTAGCCAGGCTCAGTCAGAGGCAACAGTGTTAAAATAAAGCATAGGCATAGAGTGAAGACAATAAAGAGAAGCAGTAGACTTAGACTGACTTCAGAGAGGGATAGATGAGTACATTATGGTGCCAACATAAAAGAAACAATAAATGTGGAAAATTCAGAGTTCTTAAGCTTTTGTCGTTGTTCTTATAATTGACTGCTGTTTACTGTGGAAGTGTTGGAGCTGTGTTTCTGCCTCAGGTCAATATTATTGCTGTCTTTAATGTTTTTTTTAGAAATATAAAGTTAAAGCTAAGTCATGACTAACATATTTAATCAAATGTGTCTTTTTTATGGCTTTGAACACGACTTCAAGTGTTGCGTTCATTTAAACTTTTAGGGATAAATGTCATTCATATTCAGAACAAGGCAAACAAATCATGAGTGTTTCCCAGATCTTGCCAGGTTTCTATTTCCTTCCTACTAGAGTAATGCCAATATGTAAGACATTTGTGTTATTCTCGCATTAACAGAATGGTGATGGTAGAATAACATTACCATTTCTTCTTTATAAAGTAAAAAGTTTTGTGTGTAATTTGCTTTGTACAACTACAAAAAAGCGTTTTGTGAATGTATCTGAAAGCCAAGTGCATGTTTTTCCACTGTTAAACACAAATATAGCAATTAGTCTAAGTAACCATCATAAGGGCTGTTTAGTCCTTGCACATTCTGAAGGCCCTTTCTGATCACGCTCTTTCATGTGATTGCCTTTTCTTCAGAGGCATTAAGATTCACTATGAAAGTTGCATTGTGTTTTTCATGCTTTCACTATTGTGGATTGCATAATATTCATGAGGATCCTTTCTTATCATTGTAATGAAGCTGAGAAAGTAATGATCCTTGAGAAATGAGCTGAAGTGTCACAGGAACATGAGGCTTGATTTTTTTCTGGCTCTGTTGTTTCACAGTCAGTGCCACTATATGTTCTCATGTTTGATTCATTTAGGACAACTTCACATAATTAAAAAAAAAACAACCTTCAGATAATATCTGACAGATCAGAACAGCTTCAAGGCACAGCAAGAAACAATGGGATTGAAACCGCATCACACTGGATTCTAGATCTCATTAACAGTGACAGGACATAACCTGAAAACCTTAAAGGAGACGTATGATCTAAAATAGACTTTTTGAGCTTCATATGTTATAATGTTATTCCCACATCAAAAAAAATCAGTGGAGTGTTGCTTTGATTCTTTCATGCATGTTTGAGAAATCCTTTAATCTCCCCCGGCAGCCATTCGATGTTTCAAAGCACTTGCTATCACCGAGCGCCGCCTTTTCCACACAGCTCCTCCTCGGAGCTGCAGTCTCCAAGCCGCGCTTCCATCTCACCCGTACCTACGATTTGCCCTCAACTCCTTCAGACTAGCAGAAGCAGAAATCAGCAAACACCTGGTATGACTGCAAGTCTGCTGAGCTTATCATACAAACTACTTCTCAGTGCTATGCTCCTAAGAACAGCTGTATACTGCGTAATAATCTGTCATGAACGAAAAGCACTGTTGCAGCACAACTTGGTTAGACATGAACCAGGCATCAACCGACTAGAGTGAGACGTAATATAGAATAGGCTCAAGGTTTCCTCCACCTCCTTCTTCAATATTCTACTTTGTAGTCAGTGCTTTCCTCTTGAATGTGGATTTTTATGGTGCCTCTCTCCAGCAGTTAACAGGAGAGAGGCGGCGTCACCCTGGCCTGGACAAATCACCAGTCCATCGCAGCTCAGCACAGAGACAGACAGGACAAACAATCATGCATGCACTCAGCCGCACCTAAGTCACGTTTTTGCACTGTGGGAGGAAGCTGGAGTACCCGGAGAGAACCCAGGCATGCACAGGAAGAATATGCAAACTCCATGCAAAAAGACCTTCTTGTTGCAAGGCAAAAGTTTAACCAACTGTGCCACAACAAGTTTAATGTTAGTAAAAACAAAGAGTCACATTATATCTCGTCTACCTATTTCAAGATGACCTTTCTCTTCCTCCCTTGTAGATGCTCGTATTTACAGAGCTTCCCTTAATAATTCAGTCCCCATGGAGCCCGAGTTGTGACTGTGAGAGTAATTATGTTTTAGAGTGAAGCAAAGTGCTAATAGTTATTGTAATCAAAAAACAAATTAGATGTGCAGAGCCTCCCTTCAAGTAATTAATGCTTGCTTTCACAAAGTTGCACACCTTCCATACTTCCCATGTAATAGATTGATGAGGGGAGTTCAGGTGTATGCATCTCTGTGTTTGTGTGGGTGGGCAGGGGATGATAAATTGCAGTCTTCAGGATCTCCATGGATATCGTTCCCATGAACGGTCGGACCAGCAAAAAATAAATACCATGCTGACAATTTACTTGATGGACTGTGCAAAATCTAGTTAGGTTCGCACTTTATATACCATACTCCCTCCATTCTCATTCCATGACAAACTTTGTGGGGGATTTCCTTTTTCAAGACAATGACACCTACCCTGTATGCTTGTTACCTTCATATCCTTCTGGAATTATTATATTCACCACTGACATGCTCAAGTATACATTTCTATCTGCATGGGTAAATCTTCTGAATCCACTTAATACATGTCTTACTGTCACTGCAGCAGCAAAAAATACCCCTAATAACCTAAACCAAGGTTTTGAAAGAATGAGGACATTTATTAATGATCCATTTTCATAATTAAATGAATAATAAAAATATTGATTCACTGCCAATAAAATACATTATATGTCATAATTATATATGAATTATCTGTAATTCATATATATAGTATTACAATGCCTTGAAAAGATATTCATCTAACTTGCATCATTATGCATTTTAACATTAAAGTCACAAATGTAAGTGTATTTTATTCAAATTTTAAGTGTTAGAGATTTTATCCATTCATTCATCTATGAACTGTAGCTACTTCTTAGTTGCAGGGCATCTTCGGGGCCTGAAGGTGATTTAAAAGCAGCATTGGTGCCCAGTACTTCACAACCCAAAGACTCACAGGACAGAGAACCGTGCACACACACACACACTCATAAACTTAAACGTAATTTAGAGAGATTAATTAACCCAACAATAATGTCTATGGACTTTGGGAGGAAGTCGGAGTGTGTTGGAGCAATGCATACTAACAAGCACACAAGCCAAATGAAAATAAGACAGAAAGGTTGTTTACTTTGAATTTAGTTAAGCTTTTTTGAAAGTCACTAAACTGAGTTTGAACTGGACGTCTGTGGAAATGTGCTTCTCTAAGTCAGAGGTCAGCAGGGTTTTGGTTTCTCCGCCCACAGCTTTGTCCCACCACATCCGAGTTGTGTTAAACAACAAAACATACGATGATTCATAACATTGCAAATAACCCACTTTCTTACTTTTGATATAGTGTGATATATTGACACATGTTTTCATCTCAGTTTGTTAATTCCAGTTCTCTCATGAGGTATTGATATTGATAAATGGATCAATACCAGAGAGAGAGTCTGGGTGGTTCGTAGGTATTCAGTTGCTCCAAGGTCCAGAAGCCATTCAGGGCGAAGTTGTTTGATGGTATGTTGGTATTCCAGTCAGTTTCTTCACACAGTCTGAAATAAAGCAGAAAATACAGTCTCTCCAAATACCAATCCATTCTTTTAGTCTGAGTCAGATGTTAAACAGGTAGTACATGTGTGAAGAGGTCTGTTCTATTGAAATGGTTATAATCCAGGCCAGACTCCTATTCCTCTGGGTGAAATGTGCTCCTAAATCTCCCTCATTGTCAGCGTAACTGATGAAATTCAAAGGATCATCAGTGCAGTGTGACAGTAAAAAAGAGACGACAAAAGGAAGAGCTCAGGTAATCATTTTTGAAATATAGCAGCTCACCTTTAGTTCGCCTCCATCAGTCGCAATCCCGTCAGAACTGATACAGAGATGAGACTTTCTTTTCAGAATATCATGATGTGGCATACTGAGAGGATCAATCAGAACCTCATAGGGGACACCTGGATGAATCCAGGACGAGGGAATTTGGACGCTCCACATCTCAGGTTGGCCAAATGTCCCTGCAGATGGAAAATCACATTTTAGCATATGTTACAATAAATTGCATTTAATGGTGCTGAACAAATTTGACTGTAAAACTGCAGCTTATTAAAATGTCATATTTCTGAATGACTGTCTCTGCAATGTGCTATGATGTGCAGAACATTTTGTGCTGTCCTAGATAAAAATGTTACTTTTCTATACATTCATAAATCTACTAAAGGTTAATTAATTTTTTCAGACTTTTGCCTTTATCTGAATCTTAATTTAAAAATAAAAAATTCTAAGGGTTTGATTACTTTCAATGCAGAATGTGTGCTTTAGCCTGGTTATCATGCAAAAATCAATAGAGTGGTTCAAAGTTGGATTGCAACATGCATCATAAACAGCTGTGCTCTTTTTAAGGGTGTATGGATTCATCTTTCAAGAGTTGTTAACCTCACTATCTAGAGAGATCAGTCAATCTTCTTCTCCCTATCGGCCACATTCCCGGCTTGCTGAAGGAGATAATACAGCTCATGTTCTTATGCTTCTGACACGTAATTTATTTTCTTGATGACTGATTCGTGTTTGGCTGAGAGGTTTAGAACAGATCTTTCTCTAGTGTGACAAAGTCCGAGCTTTGTTATTGGCTGCTTTTATTCAGCCTCAAGGTCTTGAAATCCATTCAGGTGTAAGTTTTATGTCTATTGCTCAAAATGCAAATACTGAAAATAGATTCAAGGCAAGGCAGGTTTACATGTTCTGCATTTGGAAAAGTATTCATATCCTTATTTTATTTAACATTTTTTTCTAAGTACAACCACCTGGCAGCTACAAATTTAAACATACTTTGATTGGATTTTACATGGCAGACCTACACAGTCAAAACTACCATTACAGTTGAATGTATTTTAATTAAGATTTCGCCTATCTTTGAAAATCTAGACACTGACATTTTAGCCATTGGTTTGGGTAAAACAATGAAAGTTCAGTTAGATTGAATCAACACTATATTTGAGCATGTTTTCAGCTTTTACCAGAGTGTCTAAATTGGATTAAAATCTTTATTTTGACTAGGTCATTCTAACGCACACATATGCTTTGACCTACACCAACACATTTTATCTCTGTGTGTTTACAGTTATCCCCCCTTCACTATCACATTTCTCAATTCTTTTGAAGCCTCTAAGATTTTTTTGTATTTTAGCTCCATGATTCATCTTCCCATGAACTCTAAACAGGATTTCCATCCTGACAAATGCAGAACTTTTATGGGATTTATGTTGATGTTTCAAAAACCATTACTCTTTTCATACATAAAATCCCCTAAAATTACATCACATATTTGTGGTTGTAGCCTTACAAGAAATATAAAGTTTCTACAGGAGGAATACTTCTGACAGAAAAAGTGTGATAAATGCTGTGAGTGATTTGCACTATAAATAGTCTAGGTCAAGGTAAAGGTTAAGCTGAGAAGTCATTGTTAATAATACAGCAGATTAGAACAAGTGGCTGAATTGCAACTGTTGACACCCACCAATGAATTCTCCTCGTTCACTCCACAGCCTCACAGTGTGGTCAGTGGATGAGGTAAGCACCACTTGATCACTGGTGATAACCTGTAAACTGGACCAGAAAAACAAAACAAAACATAAAAACATAATAAAGCACCAGATGGCAGTTTTCTTATTGAAAACTCAATCATCCACACAGAGTTCAACAACAAAGTCAGATTTTGCAATGCTCTCAAAAAGTGTGAAAACCCGACAGCTCTAGTTAGCATTTAAAGACAGTGTCACAGGCTGCTCATGTTGTCAGCTGAAGACCTTCCCACACTGTGCCTAGTGCTGCAGAACAACATTACCCTGCTGTTGCTACTGACACTGTATAATAATTAGCTCAATTTGGAGGAATTAGTTAAAAGTTAGGTGTTAAAAAAACATAACCAGTCACCTGACATAATGATTTTGTAACAAACATTATGGTACACTGTGTATTTTTGGACTTTACATACCTGGTAATTGAGCTGGTGTGGGCACGCCAGCAATGTTCAGCTGAGTGAATTGTTAAAAAAACAACAGGGAGAGACAGAAAGTCTGAGAGAAATGTCTCATAAACAATATATATCCTCACAGTTTCACTGCAGGCCTAATTAGAGTCAAAAGTGAGGGAAGATGGGAAGCCAACCTCTGGGTGACCTTTGCTCTGGGTCAAACGTCTCCATGTTGTAAATATAGATGTAACCCATCCTGTCAGCAGCGTATAGCAGTGTCTTCTCATCCATGAAGTACAGTTTTGTTATTTTTTGTTGATATTTTGACTGCGTGGGACACATGTAATGTCAGACCCCAAACAAAAAGCATTACATGTGAGTCCGTTAATGCAAAATGTAACGGTCATTTAAGTTTTATAAAACAAAGATTAACAGAATAAAAGAGAGTTATTTTCCAAATCAATCTTTCAAATTAAAGAAAACATTATGAACAAGAAGACAGAAAGATAGGACAGAACTCCCAACAGATAGTGGGAAAAAAAATAAAATAAAAAGCACGGCGAAAAGGTCACAGCTGAACACATTTCTTTGGAAAAGACAAGACAAATAAAAAATTGTTCAGACATAATAACACAATGTTTCACGTCTGAAAACCTACTGGGGTATGGCAAAAAAATAAATAAATAAATAAATAAAAAGGCAAAGTGTTGTAACAGAGCAAAGTTCAAGAGTTCAATGAACAGAAGCTGCACAAAGAAAAGTGGGTCAAATTTTACCACCACAAAGAAAGACTGAAGAAGTGATTTAAAAGGGGAATTACAAACTGACTCCATGTTTTGGCTAGATTTATATAAAATAGTGACAATGTAATATGTAATTTAGTATTGTTCATAGAAAGGTTGAATTTAGCTAGATTTGAAATCTAATGAACAATCCTTCCTAAGTCCTGATAAAGATTTAAAATCTAAAAGGTGAGTTTGGTGGGAAACTAAGCAGCGGCATTAGTTTTAATTTTTCACATTTTCGCAATGTTTCTTTCATCAGTGGAATTTCTCATAGCACCATTTTTCATTTCAGTTTTAGTAATCCTCTATGCCTCATACTTCACCCATCTCACAAAACCCAGAGAGAATATGAGATGTACAATATTTACCTGCAGGAACGATATCTACACGTTCTTCTTAACAAAAAATAGTAAAGCTAAGCAAAGCATTCTATAATGGATTTTCAATGTCTCTTTTCTGCCATTTGGGAGACAAAAGTAAAATAAGAAAAAAATGCACACACACACAAAAAGAGATACATTTTAAATGTCTCACAACTTTGAAGCTGCTCATGAGCTTCCGTCCATTGAGCACATCCCAGAGATTTACCCACCCTGTAAGAAACCAAATGAATAAATAACACTGTGATGAAATAAACCATAGAAAGTTGTAAAATTAAGTCATGCATTATTATCGCTTCTTCCAAGGCTAACCTCTGACTCCAGGTGTCAGGAGAGCAGGAGTTGGAGACAGCTGTGTCAATCTTGAGTTTCTAATAAAAATCATACTTGGAACACTTGTGTCCAGTCCTATTGTTAAAAAAAATATTTCAGAGGTTTAATCCCATTTTATTATGCAAAGGTTATTTATAGCTTCTAAATCACCTTTAGTGTTGTGATCCTCAGCTGAAAGAGGTCCAACAAACTGATCGTTTATAGACCCAGAATCTGTGTTCCAAACTATGATCTCTCCGTTGTAGCTGCCGGTGGCCAGAAGAGAGGGAGGACACTGCACCACACAAAGGATGTCCTCTGTATGGCCATTTTTCTGCAGGCAGACAAAAACCCATCTGTTTGAACAGTTCAGTTTATTCCACAGCGCTGAATTTGACTATTTTTCTTATCACATGAGTCATTGTAACAAAATATGAAAGTGCATTAAACCTGGGGAGAAGAAATCTCTTTCAATGGACTGGAAAGTAACTTTTTTAATAGCATAAAATAGCTTGTGGACAGAAAACATAAAGTCTGTTGTGTTGGTAATGATGCAAATGTTATCAAACACTCAGCAGAACATTTTTCAGGAGTTATCATATTTCTGCAATAAGTATAGATTTTATAGTTTACTGCATCTCAAACATTTGACATACTCAATCTGTCTTTTGTGTAGAAAGCAGGTTTAACTATTTTATCTTTTAAGTTTCCAATTTACGTGTTCAAAGAAGTGCACTTTCCCATTTATCTTTGTGAATACAGAAAACAAGCACAAAGTCAATCAAAATATTTTTTATTTAAGAAATGAATAGAATGAAACACATGAGGTGTAGTCTTAAAAGTTACTATTGAAAAACTGACATTTCTGTCTTATTGTGCAGATGAAAACATTGCTGGATGAAAAATATTTAAATTTATGGGCAAAACAAATCATGATGCCATAACTTGTAGCTTGATTGAAATAAATTGATTTTTTTTTTTTTTTTTTTTTTTTTTTGCTGTATGATTAATCAAATGTCTTATATTGTTGTGGGGAAACTTTATACATTATTCTCTACATAACTCCTTGCTATCATGGAGGTTTGCAACACCTTGTCTTTGTTTTTAGACATTCTGCTGTAGATTTACTGCTGTGTTTAGCGGTCATTGCCCTGTTGATGAGCTGATATCAACCAAGCATCAGTTGTCAAAAAGATGGCCTCACATTTCACATTTGCTTTACATAACGGACAGCATTACAATGTTCATAGTGCATAATAACCTCGTAGCCAAGCAACTCTATTTTGATTGTATCCATTAGTGTAACGGCACAAGCTTCTCTGGTTTGTTAAGACTCAACTTTACAAAACTAAATCATAGTGTCATATTGTTTTCAGAGAGAAGAAGCTTCCTTCTTTAACTCTTCCTCCCCATCACTCCAATGAACCTTTCTCACTGCAGAATAACAGGCTTCAAACTGTTCATAAATGGCCTCATAACCCTGTCTGGATTGATCAGAAGGCAAACTGCTTCTCTAATTGTCATTGCTGATGTCTTTCCATTTAGGCATGGTGTAATATGCTATTACAGAGTTGATCACACTGGATAATAATTAATACATTGATTTAATTGGCATCTTTTAACTGCTATTTTCCCTTAAATCCATAGGAAGTTGCAAAGGTGTTTGCTTTTTTTCAAACTGGCAGTCATGGAAAATACCTTTTTTCTCATTACATTAAATGCCAACCAGTCTTCAATTTGCTTAATATATTCTGTTCAAGTGTATGACAACTGGATTAAGAGCTTGCGGGGTTAACACTAAATGATTTGAAACTGGGTTCTCAAAACCAAACAGAAAAACTCACAGTGAGAGTGAGACATGGAGGCTAACGGAAAGGAGAGTCATACACATTTAAAAAAAACATTGATCTTCTTCCTGCAAGCCACTAATGAAAGGTTTCAGTAAGGCCCTCAGTAGATAATCAACGGGGTCACTTTGCTTCTCAGTGTCGGTAATGCAATATTTCTGAACTAATAATGGGCTTATATGTGGGTGAATCTAACCACCAGTTTCAATGTAAAAGAGGTCTCTGAAAGTCACCTCAACCAAAGGATCATACAGCATTAGTGAGAATCAGCTCTCCCTCCAGAGAGAGCAGTGGCCTGCAGACAGAGATAACTTAAATGCATTACTGAGGCAAAAGCAGATAGAGAAACCATAGTCTGCTGTCTGACGCTTGAGAAAATGTATTTGGTGGTTCGCAAAGCACAGTTCATCCAGTACTTGTCAATTCAAATACACAAGTTTGTGTTTTTAATGTATTTCAAAGAAATTACTCAAGAAATGACAAAACAGTAAAAGAGTTTTGCAGCAAAATTTGCTGCAGATTCTGCTGCTGGCAACATATGTCATGATGAAATACATTTCTGATTCAACCAAATAAGTCCAAAAAAATCAATTTCTTCAATATTTTGTATTTCCCAAAAATGGCAAAACTCTTTTGGTACTAGTTTTTGAAGGATTTTCTTTTCACTATCTTCAGTTTTCCAACTAAACACTTATATTATTTAAGCTTTTGTGAATTTGATCAACAAAATAAATTAGTATCTTGTAAAAAGAATATGAAAATTAACCACACAAAGATGATCATTACGAGTTTTCAAACCTTATTGGACGTTGGAGCATTCAGTCATTTAAAAAGCACATTAATTGCAAAAAAAAAAAGTTAATGAAAGAAGTAGAAATCCAATCAAAAGCAATATTTGTTTTCTGAATGACAGGTTTTTATGCAAGAAAAGGGGAGCGACTGTGCACAGAAGTCATGAATACATAACAAGGAATAAATAATCTTGGATAAAAGAAAACTGTGAAGTGGTGATGAAAGTCTCACTGTTTTTTTAAATTTCTTTCATTGCTGTTCCACTACAGAGAAAACAAGAAAGGTTTTTCTTCTTAACCTCGCTGAGTTTTCCACTCTCCAAAATACAATTTTCAGGACATTTTTTTTTCAAACAGTGTCCTCTGTGTCAAAGACTGAGCAATAACACATTATCTAAATAAAAGTCCTTCAGGTTGAAAGGCAACTGAAGCAATGGAGGGAGAGCATTGCCTTTACCTCTGCTGCACAGTACAATGCGTACAAATGAGCATCAATGTTTACTGCTTTTTAGAGCTCAGAGTAAACAGCACTAAAGGGCTCCAGGTTTTTTATAAATTTGGTATGAAAAACTGTGAAATCCAACTGGATTATTGCTTTGGTCCACATGAACATCAATGATAAAGTTATTATTGAACCAACATTCTCCTTATATTTACCAAATCGTCTTTCCATGAAGGCTGTGGTCTCTGGATATGATGAAGTTCCCCAGGAGAATCCTGAAAAAATTCAGATATTCAGTATAAGTCATTTAGCTTTTTTATCTCCCAGTATGAATAGAAAGGATTAGTAAAATCATTGGGGACAAAACCTGATCTTAAAAAAAAAAGAGTTGGATGAAAGTGTGCACAGCTTTCTCGGTTGAGTTGTTCCTAATCAAATTCTGCTTGTATTCTGAATAAGCTCCCAATAACAATGCAAAAATGCAAATGAAATTAACTAATGGAAGAATTGTGCAATTGTAAAACTTATTGGAACGAGATTTCAAAAGACAAACACAAAAATAAGATACATTGGATTCTGACATTTACTCACCGTGTAAATGTCAATCCTCCGGTCTCTTCCAACAGCAACCACATATCTTCAGACAGAAATTGCACAAGCTCAGCATGGAATCAAAGTTATACTGATCAATTGTCAAATATCACATCATTACTCACGAATTTCCTTGAACTTTAAGAAAGGTGCAATCACACACCTGATGGCATTTACCCTCTGATGGGAAATAAAAAAAATACATATATATATTTTTCCATATATATCCTTTTCTTCAGTGATGAAACAAACTATACCCACCTTTCTTTAATATCTTTATACAGTGGCCACTGTTGCAGTTCCATACCTTTATGTATCCATTACTTCCTCCAGTGATAAGTCTACAGAAGCCAGAGCATATTATAAAACCGATGCATACATATTTGTTTTTTAATAAAAGGGAAAATATTCCTTATCCAAACCTTCTTCCCTTAATGTCAAATGTCATGCAGGTGATGCTGGTCAGGTCTGGTCTTGCACTAAACTCAAAAACTTGTCGCCCAGTATCAAAATCCCAGACTTTCACCACCTACAACCAAAAATACTGTAAAATACATACATTTTTGTTTATCACAGTGTCTGTTTCTGCACCAAAAGAAAGTGTCTTGCTAAAGTAATCACGTGCTTCTTCATAATCCATTTTTTTTTACATTACAACCACTACATTTCGTGACAGGGAAAAACAAAGTACAGTGCCCTGTGAACTTATTCACCCCGCAAGGCATTTTTTTGTGATTTGCTACCTCACAACCTGAAATTAAAATTAATTTTATGGTGCACACAATCATCTTGTGTGCTGCCTCCCACAAGATGCCACCCTATACGGTTGCCAATGTTATCCATTGGAGATAGGAAATCCACTGCATCTTCTAGATGCCTTTTGGAAAACAAGCCTTTCTGTTTTTGTCTGAAAGTAAAGTCTTTATTCTGCCCACTTATCCATAATGCCTAGTTTTATGAAGTGTATGGCTTATTGTGGTCGTATGGAGAAATACTAATGTTTCTAATTTAATGTGGAACAATGTTAAAGAAGTTAAAGGGGGTATAAATATTTTTGCGACACTTATTAACTCACAGCCTCCTCGCTGCAGCTCACAACCTGCCGGAACTCCTCGCTGTAGCCGCAGCACGTTACAGCCTCATCATGAGAAACAGAGATGCGTCTGTGACATTTTGGCCTGACGGGGAAAAGACGAGATAAAATCAATGAAAGTGATGTTAAGATCAGGGAGCAGCAGACACTGTCAAATATATATGTGACATCGCCTTTAGATCAGTTAATCTAAGGAACATTTTTAAAGTACTTTAAAGTACAGTAGTATCTAGAAATAGAAGAGAACTGAGTGTAAAGGCAAAACAACCAACCTCAACATCAAGGGGAGAACAGCTATGCAGTCTGCTGCGATGTACAGAGATCTCATGGGAGGGGAATAGGAGCATGCAGATACATCGCCATGAATCCCACTGGCTGTGGGGTCAGCTGTGAACAGGCAACACTGATCTTCAATGAGCCAAATCTGACCAGAGAGCACAGCAAGATTTAGAAAATGACTAATGTGACGAAGGCCACAACAAAATTTAAAACCAGTAACATTTTCAATGTATTTATCTAATCAGAAGTAGTGAATGGATGTGAAGGAGAGGGAATAACAAATTATCCTTTTTTACAAATAGTAATCTCTAAATATTTGTGTGAATTTGTACTTCGTCCCCCTTCACTCCAAATAAAATCCAAAGCAAGCAATTACCTTCAGAGGTTGCCTAATCACTCAGCAGAGATCCCCTTTGTGTAATTTAATCTCACTGTAAACATGACTGTTCTGTTCTGAGGATGCCTCAGACATTTGTTAGAGATAATCAATAAGCAAACATAATCACAATGAAACCTGGTGGTGGCCCAGTTATGAGTGAAGGGTTTTTTTTTTTCAAGTGGTCATAAGGTCACTATGAAATCTGATGAAGTTTTACTACAGGAGAATGGACAAAAAGCACTGCAAAGAGTCATGGCCTATAAAACTTGCAGCAAAATGTCTTTCGACAAAGTATTGATTCAGGGGAGCTGAATACCAATGCAAGCCACAGTTTCAGAGTTTTTATTTGTGACAAAAAATTTAAAAGTGAATTTCGCTCCACCTCACAGTTATATGATGCTTTCCTTTGGTCTTTCATTTATAATCAATTGATGTCTGTAGAGTATTTATGTTACAAAATATACAAAAAAACATGTTTTTTTTGCAAGGTGCACTTGTTTTTATTTTATTTTGTTACTATTTAGATAACAAGTTTAATTTTCATATTTCTGCATGCAGTTTTTAAACTGAATTTTACAATTAAATAAGGTGTTTTACAACTACTGTATTATTTGTAGCAATATCTGAATGTAAATCTTTAAAATGTGGAACACATTTAAGATTTTAATTAAAATATGAATGAAAAAACTCATGAATCACCTTCACAGTGTTGTCCCTTGAGACAGAAAAGATCCGACCATCCTCTGATGAGATGAAGAGGGAGAGAATGGGAGCGGAGTGGCCTTTTAAAATACCAGTGGGTTTTCTAAGGAGAAATTAACTGAATCAGGAGGAGGTGTGCATTTAATTTTAATGATGCTTGTCTGAAAAATGGCCATCTGAATTCAGGTTCCTCACCCTGAGAAATGTGGGTTCCACAGGCGTACAAGTCTGTCCATGCCCCCCGTCACCAGCAAACTGTGCTTCTGACAAAGGTCAAAAGCCTTCACACCTTTGTAGATAGAAAAAATGGTCTGATCCTCAGATGCGCGGACATGTGGAGTCCAGCTTAATTGGATCTTCCTGTTTTTATTCTCGTAGCACACCTCTCTGATCTCCCTAAGATGCTGTGCAGAGTCTGTTGAAGGCAGCATGCAGCCTCAAGAAGAAGAGAAAAAAAAAAAGAAAAAGCATCACACAACAAGAGCTAACATCAATCAAAGTGTGCTTCTGGAGCGAGGGTAAGTCATTATCAGAATAAATGACCAAGCTTGCAAGCGAACATGCCCACATACAAGGTGATCACACTCTCACATAAACAGACAGACTGGGATTGATTGGTGAATTTGTGATAGACCATGAGTCATCCCTCATAGATCTCCAATCAGACTGGCCAGTGTCCTGCACTATGTTTAATTACATTACAGCCCAAAGAGAACAAAGTAAATATACAACATTAAGTGCTTAATAGCTAAGTTTCTACTCTAGGTTAATTTCTATTGTGAGAAGAAAGAAAGCCAGAAAATAGAACAAAAAGGCTTTACCTACAACAAGGGAAGAGGCATCTTCATTTGATGATGAGACAACAGCTTGAAAATTGTGAAAATATTTTACCTAAAAAAAGAGACAAGCATTTGTCTTTCAGAATTATCACAGCTAAAATGATTATTCTTTTTTTTTTTTTTTTTTTTGGCAACTGTCAAACATGGAAACTTTCCTTCAGAGAGAATTAACAGGATTGTGTGGAAAAGTGAGAATAAACCTGGAACTTAAAATATTTACAGTCGCACTTGTTTGTTACATAATAGGTAAAGAAACTATTAGACTCCATCGTATCCAAAAAGTTTTGATCCACAAAAGTAATATCTGATTGTTTCTTAGATGTGATTTAGTGGACAGGCTCACTGATTAAATTGAAACCGGTGTCTGAATGACCTTTAACCATTTGGGTAATTTGTACAGGTGTGTGTGTAGGTGGATGCATGTGTGTGTGTGCATGAATGTGTAACCTGAAGGTGCAATCTTGTTAGAATAGTAAAATTGGCAGGAACCCTGCAACACAGCAAGAGCAACAAAGGGAAGGTAGCAGCTCTAAGCCCCCTGACAGATTAGCTATATACAAGACAGAGGTAGGGCAGCAGTGAAGCACATTATCAGCAGTCCCAGAGCCAAAGAGGCACAGGGAGAGCTGCAGAGCACCAAACCCCTGATCCAGGCCACTGCCACATTTCCTATTGCAAGCCAAGCTCAGAAGTGACCATGGCAGCCAGGTGCCCACACCAAACCTCGGAGGAAAGACTGTCCAACACTCCGGACAGGAACACCTGACCAACTGGCCGGAACGCAGAGGAACCAAAGGAGGGCTGTAGTGCCATCCCATACAACCAGATCACACCAGGGAGGCTCAGCAAAGCATTTTGCGAATCCTCAAACCCCTTCGTAACGCTAAACCCTCTTCCATTCACTAACCCAAAGCCAACGGCTGCACCACGTTTCTCAGTGCACTGAAATCATTCAAATCCGAAACTTCTTTAGTTTTAAATTTGTTGCAAGAAATTATCTCCAGCACTATTTTTATTTTTTTTACTTGGAGCTGCATAATGGAGCATTGCTGTCTCACAGTAAGAAGGCCCTGTGGTCTGATCCATCCTGAATAAGTGTTTGGACGCATAGCTCTGTCCTGAGTACCTTTGTACCCTGTGACAGAACAGCAATCTGTGCACGGTTTATCCTGCCTCTCGACCATTGACTAGAAATAGGCACATATACTCAACAAACAAGGATCAGGGGGATTTAAAAAATAGGTAGACGGATATTTGACTTGGCTTAAGACTCACTACAGGCTGAAAATAAAATGAAAAACAAAGTGAGTTATTTTTAAGGTGAAAGAAGGACTCCAAAGGTGAGAGAATTTCACATAAAGAAAAAGATCCAACACACAAGAAGGCTTGTAATTGTAAAATATTATTGGCTTGACAAATTTTTCTCAAATTTAATAACACACGATGACCCAACTGGACTGAATCACTGAATCATTGGTAGCTTGGTCAGGACTAATCTCTATAATCCATACAAATAAAATGAAGCCTTGCCCCTCAAGCATAGCTGAATAACATGATCAAAAACTAATTTTTTCAGTTATTCAATTCAAAAAGGCATTTTATGCACAGCATGTGTCGAATTCGAACTGGAAGCTGACGACAAATTAAATTCTTCTCTGGGCCTCCTACAATTTCAGGATGGCTCTGCCCAGAGAGACCAGACACTAATTTGCTGCAAAAATACTTAAAAGCACTTAATACTGTTTAAAACTTTTTTTTTCCTCTGGAGACTATTGATTTGACTTAGAGCAAAAAGCAAAAGCAAAAATCTTGAAAATGATTATAAAAGAACTGCATTTTGCTTTAAAATGTCAATAAATTTGAAAAGGCATTTTTAAAAGAACTCAAATTTTTGATTAATTTGAAACAACCAAGTAAAGGAGACAAAATAATAAAACAAATATAACCGTACCTGTGTCACCCAGTCATGATGAACCTTCCATCTGACAAATGTCACATTTTTGGAAAGCACAGCATTTTTAATAGCAATATTAGGCACATTTTCAGCCTTTGGTAATCTGTTCCACAACCTGTGAGAGGAGAAGTTCAGTCATTCATTCAAGTTTGAAACTGATCATCTGAGAGATTCAGCGTCGCACACCACATAACGTGTTTGATTGGTGAGACCTGCAGGGAGGCAAAGGTATAATTTTTCATCACATACTGTGTTTGTGTGGATGTGGTGACATAACCATCGGCTCTACTTTTTGCTCTGAGGTCTCCCTCTAATCCTCTGTATAGCCTCATAGTAATTTCTCAGCTGTGGAAGACATGGCATGAATGAATCTACTTTTGATGGCTCATTTCACCTTTTAACAGATCCTCAAAATATTTAGGGGAAAAACTGCAATTGGGATGGTTTAGCAGCTCGTTTATATCAACTCATGTCTAGAGGTTCACAGATGTTCATCTCAGTTTTTCATTTTAAAAACAGTTATATAATAATTTACTGATAATTCTTGTACCAAAGATTGCTGCGTCTTGAGAATACATCTCAAGTGAAAGATAAAAACAGCAGGTGAAAGTATTTCTCTTTTGGCAGATTGTATGTTCAGACTGAGGTTCTTACTTTATTTGCATATTTCCTAATTATCATGCTGTGTGATTTCAATTACCCTGATGCTTTCCAACTGTCCTAAGGCTCCGACACACAGGAGATTCTGCTTTCACACCTTCAGAAATATTATTTTGAAATTATGGAAGAAGTTGTCCCTACTGTTTTTGAAAACGAATTATTATTCTCCTTTTTTAAAGGGTTGTAACTCAAATAGTTTATCTTATCACTTAAGCATTCTTTTTTTGTTTCAGTTCAATGATATCTATGATGTTTTAATGGTCATTTCTGAATTATCTTTTAATTAGCATCACAATTATGACAATGATAAAAAAAATGAATACTGATCTTTGATAAAAGTGCCAATTGAAGACAATAATATGAATTATTTTTTATTTCTCTGTATCAAGATTTCTTTTTTTTAATTGCGGTTTTTAATTATTCTTTTTTGATTCTGATGTAGAAGTTTGCATGAAAGGCCTCTCTCTGAGTGCCTTTGGCCCCTGCTAGGAAAGGTCACTTTGCTTAAGAATAATCAAACTCAATACAAATGGAAATTAGTGCACCACTTATGTCGCTTACAGTTCTGATTGTGGAATAAAAATGTGTAGTGGTGCTAAATGAATATTAATAAGGTAATAGATTCTCATAAAAGCAACATTACCTAAGGGTGTCCTCGGCAGGGAACAGCAAAATGATGGTAATACATCCCTGAAACACAGACACATTAGCAGCCTCCTGCAAAGAGCTTACATTTTTACAGAAGTTGACAGTGATACAAAAATCTGTAGTGGTGTAAAAGAAACCTTACTTTAAAATGCTTAACATATAAAAATATGGAATTATGTACAAAATCTGGTATGTTTAAGTATTGTATATAAAAAAATACAGACATAAATAACCTACCTAAAAATGAGCAAATTAAGGCATAGAAACAAATATTTTCTCACTGTATTTTGTCATTCTTGACTTAGGTATTGAAATACAAGCTACTTCAAGGGATTAGAAAAACTTCAAATGCTCAGAAGACAGAAAACAGGCTCAGAAGACAGAAAACAACATTAAGACAAAATCTGTGCATCTGAGACGTCTCCCTTTACCAACAAAACTTGTACTCAAGTGAAATGATAATAATAATCCTCAACAAAAAGTATGAAGTTGTTGAAGTAAAACTATTCCTACAAGTATGGCTTGTGACATCACACCTCTGCATTTGGTTATGTAATTTGATTAGGACTTACCTCCATGTCACCATATAGAAAACAACAGTTATCAGAGCCAATGTAGCTGCATAGCAAACAAACAAAATAAACATCAGGTAAAGAACTGTAGAATAATTTTTAAGATCTTCTTATGCAGCTCACCTGTAGCTTAAAGTTAAAGGTATAGTTTCCAGGCCACTGATTTGGCAGTAAGGCTCTAAAGTGGAAAGTTCATAAAACTGAATCTCTCTGTCCCTGAAAAATAAAGTGCTCGAGCAGATTAAATCTAAATCCAACCTCTCACCAATAAAAAAAAAAAAAATCAGTGAAGTCAATAAAAAGTTCTCACCCTGTTCCGATCATCAGCTTGTTGTATTCTGGCATCATAGTAAAATCAGTTATCCACTTTGAACTTCTTTTGCCAGATCCATGACTCTATAAACAGGACCAATTAAAATGTAAGAATTGAGATCAGTTTTGTTTAAAACAAATTACAATGTATCTGTGCTGTTCTCCACCACTAATTTAGAGGCTTTGGCCCCTACCTGTTTAGTGAAACATTGATCAATATATTTGATGTGTATTTGCTTCATGATTTTAAATATGACATTTTGTCAATATAATGTTTATTGCTAGTTTCATAACTGATGACTTATGGTTATATGATGCATAGCACTTTGAACTGTCTTGTTGCTGAAATGTGTCATACAAATTAACTTGAATTGACTTAATTTTATTACTTTCAGTGTTAAAGTAGATAATAAATCAGTAACCATATCTGAATAACAAATTGTTATCTGGACCAATGTATGCACACTGGTCTGTAAAAATAGGACAAACAAACAAACCTTAAAACAGGTATTGAACACACTTTTTATTAAGCCCTGATTTCTGTGCAAAACTATTTTCATTGGACTGATTCAATATTCTGATCTTAATGTAATGTTTTTATTAGCTGTAAATGAAAAATAATTAGTTACATGCAATAAGCATTGTGTAATTAAGCAATATATTGAGTTACACAGTGTACATTGAGCTATGGAAATAAATTAATATTTCATTAAGATTATAATATATTAAATGGGTCTGAATAGTCTCTGTTTTTGCTTTATAAGATATTGTTTTCCTTCCCTAACCCTAAACACTTTAGGTGTTTTAAGAATAGATTTTTTTTTAATTCTTCATTAATAAATTAGTTAACATTGCAGGAACAATTCTAAAAGCTAATACCTACAAACATGTGCTTGGTCCTCTGAGGTTTAAGGTCAGGACTCCACTGACAAACGAATCCATCTTCTCTCATTGTTAACACCTCGCCATCGTGGGTGGAGTGGATGTTGACTACAGGAACGCCATGTCCGCCATCGTTCATGAGGGCTGGCAAGTGAAAGGCCACCTGCTTCCTGCGTCTCACAGTTTCCATCTTTGCTTCGTACTGCTGGAGCAGATAGGTGGAGAACTCCATCTGCATCACACATCACATTCCTTCCTTTGTGAAAAGTGTTTGAACTTGTGGAGATTTACTGAGATACATCTTTAATGATTTGTCTACTACTTTATGTGTGCAAATAACTACTTATTTCTCTGTATTATAAGATTTCTTACAAGGTAAAATTCAAATATTGTTTTATGCAGTGATCTTGAGACTACTGAGGCAACTGTATCCAAAGATGCTGACGTTTGTCCCAGTTACATTTGATCAATAAATACCAGCTCAAATATAGTTGCCATTTTTCGAAAGATTTATGTCATACTTTGCTCTTTTAGACTCAAACAGAATTATGACTCACCCATGAAATCTTTCCTTGATCAGAGTAATCAATCTTCTTAAACAAACGATATATTTCTTCATTGCTCTGTGAGATACAAAAAACGAAAAAAGATAATTAACCTTTTATCTAAATTTACATTGTCTTGATACAACCACAAACTGAAAAAAATATTGGATTGGAATTGTATGAGATAGACCAACACAAACTGTAAATGAAAAAAAAGAAATCACAAATTAAATTTAAAAAGTTTGATGTGAGTTTGTATTTAGCCTCATTTGGAGATGTGTTTTCATGAAAGTTTTAAAGACACATTTTATTTTATTTTATTTTATTTTTAAATACATCAAGTTCAATAAAATTAAATGAAGAGCATATCAACAGCAATTTTCTGACAAGCTGTTTGCTCAGGGTAATTATGTTACTGGAAGATGAACCTCTCCAGCAGACTCAAATCTTTTGCTATCTCAAAAAGGTTTTCTTCTAATTTAACTAAATATTTAGCTGCATTGATCTTCCCATCAACTCTCATATTATCCCTGACTGTGGTTAAGAAAAGTATCCCCACAACATGATGTCCGCATCACCATGTTTTACTGTGGACCTGTTTGCTGTGTCTCCTACATGGTGTGTGGCAAATTAGATTTATTTTTGCCTTACTTTCAGGTGACTTCTGACAATCATAATCTTGATTGTGTTACAAAATTTTACACTACTTTGTGTTGCTGTTTCATGCAAAAAAATAAAAATAAAAAAATTTATGCAATCTATGGAAATAGTGTTTGTTTTAATAAAACAAAATGTGAAAAAATAATAATTAAATCACCTTCCAGGCTGTATGTAAAACTTGTGAGATTATGGTGAAATGATATAAAAACAATTATTGTCTTACCATGTCAGAAACATCCAAGCATTTCTTGAGTATATGTCCAAAATTCTTTGCATCAGCGTACCCTGCCCCACTCACATCAGATTCCTTTGTAGGAAAATTATAATGTGATGTGAACATTTTCACATGGGTAAAATTTGAAAGGTATAATTTTCAAAGTACCTCAAAGGACAATTTCAGATCCTGGAGTTCATCTAACGATATCTTTTCACTGATCTTGAGATAAAAGGAGAAACGGAAGTTACAGCATTAATCACTATTATAGAGATAACTTCATGAAACACTTTGGCCACTTGAAGGATTTTAGTTGAATATTTATTTCGAGTCCAGACAGATCCACTCACTAGGCAGTTCATAAAGTCAGAGTGCTAAAAGGAGAAATTAATGACTGAATTTGATCATTAATAATCTGCAGATATAGATAGGGCTTCACCTTTGCATATCAATGACCCTAACCCTGAGAGGCCACCCTCTCTGAGTTAACAACTCTTCTAAGTTTTTTCAGCTGTTTCCTAGCAACTGATTCTTCATCTTGGAAACTGTTTGATCTACCATTAATAAATAACAGGGATAAACAGCTTAATTCCTCAAGGATGTAACTAGAGCTGAAGTCTCCCCCATGGTATTCCCTGAATTTGTAAGATAACTGTTTAATCACTCAAAGTGATGGAAATGGTGAGAGCATTCACATATTCTTGACTGCTTTCCAAATCCCTTCATAGGAGATGCATAACTTTGAACTCCTGAGCCTGCTTCTCTTAATCTGTTATGGCACATTGCTTGCTACATTAAGCAGAAGAGTGTGACTGACATCCGCAATGGAAACCCAGAAACTTGAGCCATGCATTGGCAGCCCAGCCTCCTGCATCATTTTATCGTTCCTGTCAGCTCAGAAGCTCAAATTCGAATTTCCTGGGAAACCTTATATGACGTTGGCTCGACTATAGCTTGAAGTGCTTTGGGGGTCTGGGAAGATTGCCCTGCCTGATGTGCTGTCAGGCTGTGTGCAAACTGGTCATGAACTTTATTTATGTAAATTAGTAAAGCATTATATCGTTTTCTGATAGCTCAGACCAAGCTTGGAAACGGAAGTGCTGCAGCATACTAGTGACATCTTCTGGCTAAAGGCTGCAGCTCAAAGAAGTTCACTTGTAAGAACTGAGTAACAGTGCTATTAATTAGCAAATGATTTTTGAGATAGAGATACTTGTTTCAGAACTGTACCTCAAAGTGATGAGTTGAAAATGCACAGTGCTGCGGTTGTCTTCTGATTTTAGATTCTTCTATTGAGTGTCTTCTATTGTTCTGTTTCAGCAGCTCTCGCTCCAGCCATGCTGGTGTTTCCCGTATCCTGATCCTCTGCTTTTCACTTCCCAGTTCAGAGAAGATGCTGTGGGATTTCACATTATAATCAGATGTTAGTTTGCATCTTTTGACAAACTTGCTAAAACTCTTACCTACAGAAGGTGAAAGAAGTTCATGAAACAGTTTGTGTTGATTCAAACCTTTTTAGGAATATGGAGTCTCATCGTGTTTAACATTAGAAACATATGGTCAGAGTGTGTAATATCCCTTAAACCATTTCATAATTTGTCATGTCACAGCCAGAAAGATGTGTTTTCATTGAGGTTTTTGTGCTCAAACAAAAGAAAAAGATGTGAGGTAAAAAGGCAAATGACATACTATTTCCAAGGCTTGTTTTGGAAATATGTCCCTTAACATAAATAAACACCAGGGATACCAGAGATAAACAATATGCCAAGTATGAAACAATAACAGTAATACAAAAATCAACCCCCCACAGATCATGACAGGGTTAGGCTACAAAACAACATTCCAAGCTTTGGACATCTCCCAGATCACTGTTCATTTTATCATCTTTGAATATAAAGAACAGGCCACCAAAGCAAACTGACACTGTCCCACGGTCCACCTAAACTAAGAGAGCTTCAATCAGAGGGGCAACTGAGAACCTCTCATCATCAAAATCTCATAAAAATACATCTAAGTTTGTAGTAGCATGACAAAACGTGACAAATATGAAGGGGTAGGAATACTTTTGCAACACATTGCAAAAGTATTCTCTAGAGATCAAATTTCATGCAACTCTGCATATTGCTTTAATAACCATGACAACAGAAAACATTTCTTTAGATTTAAATAAAAGTAAAAAAATAAAGGTCTGAAATGTATCTTTCAATTAAACAATTAAAAAACATCTAATCAGTCTAGTTGTAAGATTTTTCTCACACGATTGTCTATATCATGAGAATAAGGAATACCTTGACATATGTGTGCTTTCCAATCTTCCTAAAGCTGATGAAGGGCGGGCGATTTTCTCCAGTTGCATTTTTCCCAAAAATCTTTAAAGCTTTTGTGATCAAAAAATTGAGGGACAAAAAATGTTTTTAGTCTATCCACAATCAGCCATTAGGCAAACAGATTCTACCTTTGTCTACCTGACACAGGATCTGGTATTACACCTCAACAAAGCAGGTGGTAGATGGTAACCAAGAAACCAAGTGACAACTGAAACCACAAAACTGAAAGCATTGACCCTCGACATAAAAAGACAGAAACAACTACCATTAAACTCAGAGCACACTGAACAACCGAAAGTGAGAATACTTTTTATATTTTATTCATTTATGCTTTCTTACAACACGGTAGTTTAATTTTAAAAGCTAATAAGCATGCCTGGTAGAATCTCAAGAAATATTTTTTCATCCAATGAGAAACTGTTGTACTGTTGCACATAAAAAAGCTGTATGAATTTAAAATACTGTATTATTTTCTGTTAATTTTTTGAGACACACAACAAAATGAAAAGAATTAGAAAAACTAAAGACATATATGTAGGTCAGTATTTCATAACATAATGTAGAGACAAGCACCAGACACAGTTTGTTGTAAAAGTATTCACATCCCATGAACAATTTTAGATTTTGTCACATTAGAAACATGAAATAGCAAAAAAAAAAGAATATTGGAATATCAGTTCTATGCATTCATTCCTTTAACTTGATATGTTGTAAAACGTTCTCTCACTCCATCTGGTGCTAAGAGTTGGAGTATATCTTTGACAGCTTTATACATTTGGAAAAGAATATATTTCATATCTTCCATTTCACAGATATGTACTACTTTCTGCTGGTCTCACCAAGAAAATCAATCCCAATTGAGGCTGGAATGTAATAAATGTCAAAATGTTTAAGCAGTATTAATTCTGTTCATTTGGTTAACATAAAGAAACACTTTATAAAATTCACAGAAATAACCAATTTACCAGAAAGGTTCAGAAAGGTTGAGCCAGCTTAATAGCCAATCTGGTGATTGGGGATATTGCAAAACAACAGCAAGTTCTTTTGTTTGTTTTTTTACATTTCCTGATTTTCTGAACATGTTTGTCACTTAAAGCAATCACACAGCTTTGCAATCTGCAAATTTACAAAAGACATACAAATATAAGAAATTAACTTGTGAAACTACTTGCAGTGTCAAGGAAAGAAAATTATGCTAGCCTTCATCAGGTAACAACAGGTATAGGACAGTTGACTCTCTTTCTGTTAAACGTGTCATAGGTTGTCTACTGAATGTGGACATGTCTTTGAATAACTATTGAAACTGCAATGGAAATCAGAGAGCAGCACTAAAAAACTAGAACTGGTGTTCATGTTTATGTTAAAAAGCTTTTAGAAAAGACAGTTCTTTATACCATGGCAGATAACTCTATAATATGTGCTGCGGTTCTAGAATTTATTTTGCCAAAAATTCAGGTTTGCACTTTGGGAGCCAGAAAATTGGCTGTCATTTCAGTGTCAGCAGGAAGAGTTGTCTCCTTGTGAAGGCTGTTGTGCAGAGGTGCAAGCTTTTCATTTTGTTATTTTGTTGTCATTATGTCCTGTCAAAAAAGCAGTGCAGAAAACTAAAGAAAAGGAACTAATTAGAGAAATGGGATGTTGGTTTTGAGTATGTGCTTGTTCGTTTTTACTCAGTTTCTACTACATAATCAATGCTCACAAAACCATGTATGATGTATGTTGAGATGAAGTCAGGGTGTAGGTGAAACGGTACTGTGCTAAAGGCCTTACGTGTGTGTCTCCCAATCAATGAGAGATATTTCTGCAGAACAGTGTGCAGCATCCCTTTGGCAACCTCCATTCAAAAGATACCCTGGGGAAAAACAGCTTATTTTAAAGGCTATGTAAATAAGGACCATTCAGATATTTAATACTCAGGCTAGCACAGTCTAAAAACAGACCTGAGTAGGATGTGGGTTGTTTCTCAAATATCCTGAGGCTGTTCCTGTGTAAATGTGATCAGGTTTACAATGTGGTTTCCAGTAACATTCCCTACTGTATACAGTTGCGCCAAGAAGTCCAGAATGTGAAGAGGAGCCTATAAACCATTCAGATAGTATGTATTAACATGGAGTTACACAAGCAAATAAAGTCTTAGCATTCATTCTTAATTTAGTGCCATGAATTAGTCATACAACAGGATATGAGCAGCTGAGTGTGGTTGGGAGACAAATTGTCTTCTGAGAGATGCTTCATTAGAATTCCACCACTGCTTACACTCTACAGATGAAGTAAAAAGTAGATATACAGATATGTTAAAGTAATGCAGGCATTTTATTGAGCAAGATAATGATAATACACTTCCGTAAGGGCTAAATGCTGCAGATTGTAAACCATCTCAGAAGAAAAGTTTTTTTGTTGTTGTTGTTGGTTTTTTTCACGCTAACTTAAAATCAAGCGTGGAACTTGATTTTAAGTTAAAAATAGAAACTAGACAATTATAGAAACTAGACAATTAAAGCAGTGAGGGACTGGCGACCTGTTCAGCATGTACCCTGCCTCTCCTCCGTTGACTGCTGGAGACAGGCATCATCACCCTTCACAACCCCACAATGGAGAAGGGTGTTGGATAATGGATGGATGGATGGCTGTGGCAGAACTGAGCTTAACAAGTCCTAGGGGGGAAATGGAATTGTAAAAATGTGAAACATCAGAAAAATAGGTTTTTGACTTTTACAACTGTGCATATTTCTCAGGTCTTGGTGTTTGAGTCCTTTCTGATATATCGTAGAGTGCTCATCGCATCACTGTTTTACAGCCTCCAAAAGACAATAATTATCTTTCATAACAATTATTTTTCATTATCAGGTGTGACATTGGCAATTAATATTGGATTGGCTTTATCTGTTATTGTGTGGACGACCATAACTGTAAATTTCACTGGATCTGTCTGAATGTTAACTGTGTCCTTCTGAATTCTAACAAGAACTAAACAATGTGACCACATGACACCCTTCTCCATTGTGGGGTTGTGAAGGGTGATGATGCCTGTCTCCAGCAGTCAACGGAGGAGAGGCAGGGTACATGCTGAACAGGTCGCCAGTCCCTCACTGCTTTAATTGTCTAAAAATAAACAAACTTTTCAAAGCCTGATATTTCTGTTGAAACTATCCTTTTGTGTTAATCTTTGGGGTTTTCATTATCTTAATGTATATCTGTATAATATGTTAGTTTAGGTTTCTGAAACCAGTAAGAAAAATACTGAACTTTTTTCCATAATATTTTCATTTTTGGGGCTTCACCTGAAATATCAATGAATTAATAAATGATTTAAATGCCTACAAAGCATTAAAATGTTTTGTCTAAGATATCAAGCTGGTCATAGCTGATATTGACTAAAATTGTCAAGCGTAAAAATTAAAAAGAATTAAGGTGTGATCTATGTGTAGTAAAACAATAAATTAATTATGCTACAAATTGTTTTAGTTGGGGTGTATCTACATAAATATCTCTGCCATATAATCTGGTGACCTTTGTTTTATCTGTATATATTCAGTGATCCAGAAAAGGACATCTATATAAAGTTGGGTATTATTTTAGAAATCAACACTATTGTTAATATATGCTGATAAGACATTTTGATTTAAAAAATTCAGAAATTAGAAAATAAATTATATTCATTGTTTAGTTCTTAAAGAGAAAATATGACAAAATCCAGCTAACCAACCACACAATCTCTGATTGTTACTGAGTTATTATATCGCAATAGTCCGTGTTTGGTGACATTACAAGATATATTCAAAATAGAGATATGTTTTTGTATACATTTTATTAACATATTGTATAGTATTTTGCAACAAGATTAATGAGCTTAAAAACTGTACGTTTCCCTGACTGCTGATACCAGCTTGTGGAATAATAACGTGAAACTAAAATAATATTTTTCATATATATATAGCGTCAGAATTATGTTATTTTTAATGCTTTTATTTATTCGTAGTAGTAGTTTTCATTTATGTGTTATTTTTATGCATTCTCTTATTTCTGTAACCTTGCACTTCCTGTTGCCAATACAACAACAACAAAGTATTTAGCAACGAGCAGCTTTCCTGTGGACTTTTGTATTATTTTTGTATCCTCACACTTAGAGACATTAATTTTCAAACTTTAAGTTTAGCGCCACGGTCCCGTCGTGTTTTGGGCAGCCAACCGCACAACAATCGGGGCACGGGCAGCGAGTGTCCAATAAGATATCCAAGAAGTTGGCGGCAGCCAATGTCCGACAGCCGGAGCCGAATACACCGGATAAACAAGGGATCCTCGTAGGCAAAAGACCGCGCACTCACGGTGCTACTTGTTCCATTGTTTGAGAGATACAACTAGCGAAAGGGGTAAGCATTCCACAGTATTATCCTGTGTGGCACATATGAGAGAAACTCTGGGGTGTTTTGTGTTTTGCATTGTATGTTTGAGTATAAAGCTGAGCTGGATGGGATGCTTACCCTTTATGAAGCTGGTTTATGATGCTCATTTCACTACGTTGACGCCCTAGGCTGCCATTAGCTGCTACTAACGAGACAAAGGATAACTTATCCAGTGATTGATTTAAAAGCTACTTATTCTGCGTTAGCAACGTCACCTCATGTGTAGGCAGCTGACAGAGAGGATGGCTCCCCTGAACGTTAGCCCACTGTGCTAGCCTGTTAACGGCAAACGCTTATTGAGGCTGTGCTGGTATGTTTGAAGCTAACGCTAGTTGCCTGTCGGTTAGCGCTGAGTGGTGCTGAGGCAGCCCGCCTGCGATGAGACGGGCGGAGCATCTCTTTCCGACATCATGCCTACATAAAACAAAACTTTAATACAAATATTAAAAACAAAATACTAGAATGAACACAGCTGTTAGTTATAATGACGTGGAAAACCAAAATGTTTGTGAAAACAGAACGTCTTGCCCTTTTAATAAGCATAATCAGCCATTTTAATGACTGCCTCTTAAAATGAGCAGGGTGCCTAGCTTAGCTCGAAGCTAATGCTAAAAGCAAAAGGACACAAAGCAAGAGCGGAGCCATAATGGCTAACGGCTAGCGGAAAATCAAAGGAGGCGGAGGCCATTGCTAATGTATTCATTTACAGGCTGACGCCGGCTCACAGCAGCGCTGTCATCAAGATACTTCATATAAAATATAGCAGCTGCCTGATTTCACATAGTTAGTACTACATCGCTGTGGACAGCTAAAAGCTACAGTAATGAGACGCATTTTGCAGTTAGCATAAATTAAATGTTGGCCCTTTATACAATGGATCATCAGTCACCCCAGAAGCCCTCCCTCCTCCTCATATCCTCCCTGTTTAAACAATAGATGGGACTGACAAAGCAGGAAGGAGACAGTTCAGCAAAGAGAAATTTGCATATCACTGTTGTTTTATGACTCCACTTAGATGACTATTTTTTATGTCGTTTTTTTTTTCTTTAGTAAGACAAGATGGTGAAGGATCCCAAGAAGCCCCGGGGCAAAATGTCCTCATATGCCTACTTTGTGCAAACCTGCCGAGAGGAGCATAAAAAGAAGCATCCTGATGCCTCTGTCAACTTCTCAGAGTTTTCCAAAAAATGCTCTGAACGATGGAAGGTAAAAGTTGTGGATGATTTCTAAATCAATGATTTTTATGTAAACCTTTTTTCTGCCATTTCTGATTTCTGAAACAATTTTTAAAATTGAAATCTACTTTCTAGATAGAAAAAATATACATACGTGCATCTTGATAAAATGTCTAAGAAATATGCCCCCAAAAAATTTTATGTCAGAAACAACTCCCAAGTTGTAAAGCTGTACAGAAAGAACATATGTTGGACATGATGTCTCCAATACTTAAATCAAGATATCAGTGTAAATTAATACAGTATGCTTTCTTTACTGGCCAGACTTCAGTTTAGCATTTTTTTCACTACATAGAATAAACTTATAAATCTCTTCTTTTTAGCGATTCATATGTTAACATCAATCAATCAATGTTAGTCTTTATTTATTATTTTTTTTTTTACATATATGCTCAATGGGTAAAACTGGATTGATATGAATAAGCAGTGTATATTTCTATATTGGTTCCATTTGTGTAAGCGATCTAGGTGGTATGTTTTAGGCATGTGACAGTGATGTGCTAAGAAGCAGCGTTAGTAGCATGGTTTTTCTTCGTTTTTTTTTTTGTTTAGAAAGGTTACCAGTATTGAGATTTATATTTGCCGAACTTTTCATTAGGACCACTCAAAATGATTCACCAAAATAGCCCACAGCTTACACAGCTTAGGGCTGAGTGCCTTGGCCAAGGGCCCCAAGTTTGGTCACCTCAAACCATATATGATATAAAATATACAGTAAAGAATCCTTAAAATTCTTAGAATCCTTAAAAGGATAATATAGAGCAACTTTTCTGTGAAATGATTAGCTTCTGGTTATATGTCGGAGTTTTAGCTCTTTAACTCCCTCTAAGCAGCCTGGAGCGAGATCTGACATGCTGCTGTAAAAAAGGCAAAAGAAAAGATAAAAATGAGAAGTTTCTTTTTCCAACAATTTTTGCCTCTGTGTTTAAACTCTTTACCAATACTGAAACTACCAAGCCTTTCTTCAACAATAACTTGCATGCAGAAGAGTTTTGCCAATGATGCAGCCTGGTAATGTGTGATTTGTTCAGTTAAGTGTAAAAAAAAAAAAAAAGTCTATTATTTAGTTTTTGACAACCTGATTAGGGCTGGTAAAGAATAAAATCATCCGATTCAGGTCAAGATTCAATTTCTTGGTACATCTTTGATAAAAATCTATCAGAACTAAACTTTAGGCCTAAAGGTATTTTTGTACAGTGTTCTATATTCTAAAAACAGACCTGAGTGTCTGCAAAAATATTAGGCTTTATCATTTTTTTTGTCTTAAAGACAATGTCACCAAAGGAAAAGGGAAAGTTTGAAGACATGGCCAAACAGGACAAGCTGCGTTATGAGAGGGAAATGAAGAACTACGTGCCCCCTAAGGGCCAGAAAAAGAAGCGATTCAAGGACCCCAATGCCCCAAAGAGACCACCGTATGTACCCTGAAATAAAATCACTGTCTCGATTTCCTTCTATATTTCACAAGTTGTTTTTCTGCCTCTAGCTTTTATATTAATAATAAATCTCACAATCCCACACCCTATAGGTCTGCGTTCTTTCTCTTCTGCGCCGACTTTCGCCCCAAGGTTAAAGGTGAGAGTCCTGGACTCTCCATTGGGGACACGGCCAAAAAGCTTGGAGAGATGTGGAACAGCTTGTCTGGAGAAGAAAAGCAGCCGTACGAAAAAAAGGCTGCCAAGCTGAAGGAGAAATATGACAAGGTGAGTGGTAACTATGCTGTAATTAAAGTGAGTCTGATTCAGATCTGATGGCCATGCTATTTTCTCTAGATACAGTTTAGAGATTATTTTATTATTGATACAGAAAATTATTGTGATTAAAAAGATCTTTGTCCTGCTCTCCACAGGATATTGTGGCATACCGTACAAAGGGCAGAGTGGATTCAGCACCAGCTGCTGCGGCCAATGACGATGAGGATGACGAAGAGGAGGGAGATGAGGAGGAGGAAGAGGAAGAAGAAGACGATGATGAGTAAATTTCATAAGGATGGGACCGGAAGTTTTTGTTTATGCCATGTAATCCTAATGTACTCAGTTCACCATCTTGAATCATGTCAAATTGAACAAGATCATGTGTATATTTAATGTTTTTATGATGTACAGTGTTAATCTCCTTTTTTTGTAAAGTTAACACTACATATCCTAAGTTTGAAAATTTTCTAGTGGTAGTTCTGTATTCCTGCCATATTATGTAACTATTTAGAAGGACTACACATCACTACGACAGTAAGTAGTCTTTAGGTGTTACAACTCAAAAATGAGATTGATGAGTTGGTAGTGTATCTTTTTTTTTATTTTTAAAATTATTTTTTTATGTGCTGTCCCAGTGTCTTTTTATTGTCCTTTTGAATACCACTCTAATATCAAATGCAGCTGTCGACATTAAAGAATGTCTTCAATAAAAATTTCTTTTTTAAGATGTTTATTTCTCTTCCTTAAAAGCTACAAAAAAAAAACAACATGAAGAATCAGTTTTATGGCCTCATTCTGGGTCTTACTTTAATGGTTGGAAACATCAAAATAGTGGGGTTTGTAAAACCTTAAATACTTAAACGAGTTGAGATGGCAGCATATGTTAATTGCATAGTTTAATAAGTATTTGAATTATTGTCAAACATTTACAAAAGGCAGCATCTCAGTTACTGGATTTTTCTAAAGATCACTACAAGATTTTTCACTTTGAGTTTATCCCTGAAAACAAAACAAAAACATTGTCTTCCATTGGCATTGCTTGATTACTGTAAGATTATGGTTTTAATGTTGATCACTTTTACAAATAAATAAAAGTGAAAATGTCTTTAAATGTTGGATTTTGTGAAAGAATGTCAGAATCTGGACATTACAATCCCATGACTTCTCTTTGCTTAAATAGTCACAGCTGTGGCTGTATTGTTTATTTTTTATTGTTTGCACTAACGTATTTAGTGTTACCTTCTTTAGTGAACATGTTGCCATAGTATTTGAAAGCATAAAACCTAGAGAGATACGTAATTAGTTTTCATTAAACATGTTAGAACTCCCACTGGTTTCTAACAGTGGATCAGGAATGTGATTTGTTGCATCTAATTTATTTGCTTATGAGGGACAGTGTGTGTTGAACATTTTGAATAATACAAGTCTGACTGATTGTTTCCCTGCAAGATGGTACAGGTTAAACAGACAAATCAAATCTCACACATGCAGATCTTATATTTAATGCTGACTTCAGAGGTAAATTAAATGTAGCAGATAGTAGCCAACACATTGATATTTTACATAATACTGAGCACCCATGCTATTTATAAAAGTGAATTAGAGCCATGAAGGTACAACAATACAACCTCCTTGTCCTGGATTGTTGCCATCCATCCAACTTCTACACCAGTTTAACCTAGCAGGGTGGCTGCCTTTTTGCCCAGATGGGACCCATGCATGCACAGAGAGAATATGGTCAGGATTTGAAGTCTTCTTGCTGCAAAGCAGCAGTGCTACCAAGTGCTCCAACTTACATCCTACTATGGATTTATTTTATTTTTTTAAATGTTCTGAAATCCTTTGTGCAGAAGGTGGTGCTGTAGTGAAGTTGCCCCTCCTGCCAAGTTTGTGCATTTAAGTGTTCACCTGGGGCTTAATAATAGAGAACGAGGCATAATGTTTAATGGGACACACTAGTTTGGAGCTCAGACTGTTCTGTACAAATCTTTACAAAAACACCCACAGTCCCACACCATAACAGTCAAATGATGAAATTTTGCTTTTGGATTTTTGAAAAAGCAAAAGTACTCTCCAGTAAACAATTGTAACTTGATTGTTAAGTAAGTAACTAGGCACAAGCAAACATCATCATTTCCCCTTGAGGAACGAAGTCATTTGCTCTTGTTGCAGCAACCTAAAATTCCACACAGAAAGACCCTTTATAACTGTCTACCTGTGACATTTTAAAGTTAAACAAAGTGCATCTAATTCTGTCTGCTCAAAGGCTAAAAAAAGAAGTGAGGATCGTGTTTCCTGTGTTTTGTGTTTCTCCCTTCCTTTAGTGCTAAAGTAATGACCTGGTTTTAAGTTCTCACTTG